AACTCAACTCTTCCATAGCCATGTCTTTTACCAACCGTCTTTCTGGATGTAGGTATCGTCTTATTATGAATAAAATAGAAGTTAGGAATTTGAATTCTTACAACTGAGCTCTACCACACGATCTAGAGTAAGAAGAAAGAGTGACAGTCCTAAATGCCCTGTAGCCTCCTGCTTATAAATGTGGTGCACGACACACCCATAAACAAGACTCTACTAGACACGGCTTGTAGACTCCCTAGGACAGAACTGCTCTGATACCACTTTTGTCACGACCCAAACCGATGGGCCGCGACGGGCACCCGATACCTTACTCAACCGAGTACCAACATAACGTATCTTTTCGTATCATACTGTCATAGGTAAATGAGCCAGAGAGGCTATCGTGAGATAAAGTAGAATAAAACATGGAGAAATACTCGACATTGGACGATCCAACATGTAATCCAAACTTATACATATGACGTACGGGCCTATAAGGCCGGCATGATCCTTTATATACTCAAAATATAGGCCGACAAGGCCATACACGAATTCGTATACATGACATCTGTCTACAAGCCTCTAAGAATACATAATATTATAAAGGTCGGGACAGAGCCCCGCCATACCAAACAATACACATTTAAATTATACTGACCAAACAAGCAACTCCGGAGCAAATGGAGTGCACCAACATCTTCCGCTGAGCTGATCGCCTACTCGGAGGACTCTCAATCAGTCTATCAGGACATGCGAGCATGAAACGCATCGTACAAATAATGTACCGCGTATGTAAGGAATGAAAATCAGTAGACAATAGACATGAGAGAAACATGGAGTTAAGACTCGACATGTAAATCTGAATAGCTCCGTGAAATCCTTTAATATTTAAAATGTCATGCATATACGTATAAATGTTATGTCGTGCATAGGTACATGTATTCATAACATCATCAAGCCTCTGAGGGCATCCCATCATATCATTCGGCCGTTGTGGGCAAAATCATCAACGTATACTAGCTGATCAGGTGGTTGTGCGTATATAATGCTATAACCTTTCCCATATCCCATATGCATATATATACGCATATATAACGCCATCTGGTCATGGGTCAATGTGCATATGTAAATGCATGTGAAAATATGTTAATAAAATCTCTCAATACATCATAAGACCATTATGCCTCTGGCTAATATCATGAAATAAATTTTACCAACTTACGTATTTTTGAGACCTATAAACAAATGATAGAATAATATGACACATAGGGAATCAAGAACATCGACATCTCTAGTATTTCTATGAATAGAGTAATTTATGGAATTTGTGCATTTTCTCGTTTCATTCGTGTTGTATAGATCATGCCAAAAAGAAAGAAGGGATAGCCTTAACATACCTGGGCCGATTCTTTTGACAATCCCTCTAGTACAAGTCTTTTGCTAAAACACGTAATGGCGGATCGAAGTAGGAAAAAATCCGAATGATGTTCTTGAGAAAGATTACGCCGTTCTCCCTTAGAATCGCAAATCCCACGTCGCTAAGATGCTAAGAAATCTTTTTGAATTTGTTGAAGATGTTATGAAAATCCTCAAGTTATTCTTACACAAAATGATTTCGTATGACTTGCTGAAGTTCATATTCTAGGTAGTCCTTCAAAAAAAGTTTGATATTTATAATCTCATGTTCCAAGCTTTGATTTCCCTCCCTAAGAAAGAAGATAAAAGTAAAGAAAGCTTCATTGGGAATTCCTTGCCAAAGCATCAATTATAATGAACTTGGTTGAAATTTGCCCAATGTCCAAGCGAGTGGCCATGTGCAACTTCTTGTATGACTTTTGATTTTCCTATCATTTCCAGATTCCAAAACTTATGCTTTCATCTCCTATTTTCCCTTCTTTTCCACAATATTGAATCCTTTAGTGTGTTGTAGTACACATGTAGGGATTAAGCTTGTAATATATCACCTTATTGTGGAGATATAAGCACATACTCAAGTGATTTAGATAGGTCTTTTTAAGTCTTGTGGTGTGGGCCCCACATTGAAAGATTTGGCCACCAAAATTGTTTTAACTATGCCACCTTGCAATGATTTAAGAGTCATATATATGGGCATGTAATGGCTGCCACGTTGGGGCTTATCCAAAAGCCTTAACCACCCATTAATTTCTTAATCAATTAGTTAATCTCCCATTAACCAATAATTAACCAATTATCCACATAATTAAGAATTATCTCAAATTATTTTAAAATACTACTCTCTTTTAACACACCTTACTATCATGGCCATGTGGTATCTTGTATGGTACTAGTCCATAAATACCGGGTATTATAGCTCGGAGCGTATTTTACCCCAAATTGACAAACTTCGACGAAACTCGTTTTCTTTGATTTGCTTGCTCTCTCACCTTCATGAATTTACTTATCCCTTGTTGGAAACAGCATAATACTTATAATTCCATAATAATCTCATTCCCGAGCGTAAGTCGATTAACTTACGACGAAACATCACGTACAAAAATGCGGGACGTAACATCTCATTCCCGATTTTATATCAATTTACTTAAGGCGTACATCCACGTACGAAAATATGGGGTGTAACACGGATGGCCAGGTTGATCGTCTTAAGGCTCGTATTGTTGCAAAAGGATACACTCGGATTTTTGCGCTTGATTAGTGACACTTTCTCTCCCATGGCTAGGATAGCATCAGTCCGCCTTTTCTATCCATGGCTGTTGTTCGCCATTGGCCTCTCTATCAGCTGGACATGAAGAATATTTTTTTACACGGTGACCTTGAGGATGAAGTTTATATGGAGCAACCACCTGGGTTTGTTGCTCAGGGGGAGTGTCGTGGCCTTGTATGTCGCTTGCGCGGTCACTTTATGGTCTAAAGCAGTCTCCTCGAGCCTGGTTTGGTAAGTTCAGCACAGTTATCCAGGAGTTTGGCATGACTCGGAGTGAAGCTGATCACTCTGTATTCTATCGGCTTTCTGCTTCGAGTCTCTGTATTTATCTGGTGGTCTATGTTGGCGACATTGTTATTACCGTCAATGATCAGGATGGTATTACTAAATTGAAGCAACATCTCTTTCAACACTTTCAAACTAAGGATATGGAAAAACTAAAGTATTTTCTAGGTATTGAGATTGCTCAGTCTAGCTCAGGTATTGTGATCTCACAACGGAAGTATGCCTTAGATATTCTTGAGGAGATAGGAATGACAGGTGGTAGACCTGTTGATACTCTGATGGATCCGAATTCTAAACTTCTGTCAGGACAGGGGGAGCCTCTTAGCGATCCTGCAAGATATAGGTGGTTGGTTGGTAAATTAAATTACCTTACAGTGACAAGACCTGACATTTCCTTTCATGTGAGTGTTGTGAGTCAGTTTATGAATTTTCCGTGTGATAGTCATTGGGATGCAGTTGTCTGCATTCTTCGGTATATAAAATCAGCTCCAGGCAAAGGTTTATTGTTTGAGAATCGAGGCCATGAGCAGATCATTGGATACTCAGATGCTGATTGGTAGGATCAACTTCTGATAGACGTTCTACGTCTGGATATTGTGTCTTAGTAGGAGGAAATTTGGTGTCTTAGAAGAGCAAGAAACAGAATGTGGTTGCTCGGTCTAGTGCAGAAGCAGAATATCGAGCAATGGCTATGGCGACATGTGAGCTAATTTGGATCAAACAGTTGCTCAAGGAGTTGAAATTTGGTTAGATTAGTCAGATGGGACTTGTGTGTGATAATCAAGCTGCTCTTCATATTGCGACAAATCCAGTATTCCATGAGAAAACTAAACACATTGAGATTGATTGTCACTTTGTCAGAGAAAAGATACTCTTGGGAAATATTGCCACAAAAGTTTGTGAAGTAGAATGATCAGCTTGCAGATATTTTCACCAAGTACCTCACTGGTCCTTGTATTAACTACATATGTACCAAGTTCGGTACATATGTATAGTTATGTATATAGTAGTAAATAACCCTAATCTCATATGTATTAGTAGTGGGACATGTATTATATATATATATATATATATATATATATATATATATATATATATATATATATATATATATATATATNATATATATATATATATAGGGCTCATTGTATCATAGTTAACATATGTGAATAATATCATATTTTTCTCCCGTGCATTCTCAGAGGTCCTTTTTCTACTCAATATTTATGCTTAATAAGCTATACCACTCAAGAAATTGGAAATTTTGGTTGTTCCAAAAGGTATGACCGGAAGCCATCTCATATAGCTGTTGTTGGTGATCAGAACAAATCTCTTTAATTTGATAGGCATAACACATGCTTATTTTTCGAACTGTCTTCTATAAACTCCATTGCCGCCCATGGAATATAGAGTTCTCCTTTCCATATAAATAAACCTCCGCGTAAAGACAGTTTACAATGAGAAGAAAACTACTATTCTTAGTTCCCAAAAAAGCCGTATTTCCTAGTTTTTGCTTGCATGGAGTAGATGGTGTGAGTCTTAATATGTATTGAAACGTCTTGCTACTCAGACCTAAAAATATTTAGGTCTTCGCAGAAAATACCTAATATATGCAGTTTGTTACGGATATCTTTCACCTTTAAAATGCCATGTTTGATGCATTAAGTTGCATTTAGATCAACACTGTCACCAAGCCATGTGATACATATATGAATTTACATGAGCTGTTGAATCCAAAAGAGTTCTTGCTCATTCATCTTTTCAGGAGATGGAAAACAGAAAGAGATTTCTGTCTCCTATTTGTTAATTACTTATGTAATAATATGACCAAAAAATTTTATTCAGTAATTTTCATGATGACGGAATTTGACCACCTAACCATCTGAAAACCAGTTTCAAAATGGTTCAGGCAAATGGTTATTTTCCTTATTTCCTATTGCTTTTGATGATCTATTAAAAATTAAAACTGACCTTACTGATTAATCCGAAATTTATAGCCCCTTAAATCATCAGAACATATCCTTGTAAATCATCAAGTTAATAGTTGACATACCTCTGAACGAGATCAGCTGGTACTATAGAGGTTTCAAGTCCATCCATTTCTTCCCAAGATACCTCAAAGCAATCTACTCCTTGAACTTTCCTCGGCTTTATAATTCGAGATAAAGGACACTTTATTGGCATCTGTGCATGTTCAGATCTTAGAAATCGTTTCCAGAAACAGACTTGATAGAATGAAATATAATGCAATAGAAAAAAAATTCCAACAAAATTATCCCAAAATATTGAGATAACAATAACTCAAGGCGTCATTACATGTGCAGCCCTCCAGCATACCAAACTCACAACTGTCAGGCCCCTATAGTGATGAGGCCATTAAATTGTTGTTCTATTTTCAAAGTCTTTCAGATATGCAATCTCTTCTCTTAATTAAGATGGTGAAACATCTTTTACAATCATATTTCTTTAATTTCTCCTTTCAGCAATATTACATTATATTCAAGTCCGTTAAATGTGCAACCCCAACTCTCGAAATGGATGAGAGAAGGTCTTCCAAATCATGGATTTTATGGTGTTGATGTCATAAAATAGCAAACTTATCCAGAATGCTACTGCAAGAAAACTCGGTACAATGTTTCCAGAATCACTGGTCTGATCAAAGCAGTACAATGTTCCCAGAATCACTGGTCTGGTCAAAGCATACAGAACCACACAACCATCTCTCATCTACTTCCCAAACCCAACTATTTTGGGCTAGTTAACTGGGATAGACAACAATTTGGATAAGCAATTATCATCTCTGAATATAGAAGTGCAATGAAGTTCTGCAGATGCTGCTATCATCACAAGGATCATTCTCAGGTAGACATACGCAGAAGGACGTAATTGCAAAAATGATCTTGATAATAAACTACTATATGGACGCAAAGAGTAAAATTGAGCATTCATTGCAGTAGGATGAGCATTACCTCATCTAATGGAAGCTGGACTCCCACTTGTGATGCAGTGGACCGCAAGTTGGCGAATCTCCGCAGTTCCCTTTCAGCAATCTTAGGAAGGATATACTCGTCTGAGCCACAAAGAACAGAGGGTTTCAGAGAATCCAACCTTCTCATTAACTGGACCAACGTCTAAGCTATTGCATATTTAATTCTTTTAACTATTACAAAAAATGAAACTATCAATTTTCAAAACCAAAAAGGAAAAAGAAAAAAGACAATCACAGTAGGAGTTATCCACTATAGTTGCCGAATCACAGGAAACAGGTCAGATAAGTGCATGAATTAGAATTCATATCAGCTAGTATGAAGCACCAAGATTTGGCTCAGAGAAACACCTGTCTTCTCAGGAGGCCAATCAAGAAATTCAGTGCATATTTGCTGAAGCTGGCTGCGGCTAAATGGATACAATGCAAGAATCCTGCAACACATATCTTTCTTTTCAGACTTCTTGGTTCTTAACTAACATTTCAACAGATTTATTACCAGCACAATGTAATGTGGTAAAACTTGGCAAAAGAGAAAAGCAAAAAAATGGAGAAAAAGAAGAAAAAAGTGAATGCTGTCTCAAATAAGAATCTACCGTTGTACAGCATCAGACTCCGCTGAATGGCACTTTGGTTTTAGATATGCATTTAATACTTGCAACGTCTGACTTTTCATTTGTGAAGGGCATTTGCTTCCTAATGCAAAAAGGAAAAATAGCAGGGGTTTAAACTTAAACGTAAAAATAATTACTACATATTAGTCAATGCCGGATATTTTTCTTTTCCTTATTTTTTCCTCTTTCCGAGGGACTCACCATTAGGATTTTTATATTCTGCAGCATTTTCTCTACCATTGCATTTGTCATCTTCAATCTTTTTCTTAGAACCTTTTTGCTTCTTTACGAAGGAAAATTCTGATGCAATCCATTGAAGAACAGCACTATCACCAATTGATTTAACAAGCTGACAAGCTGACTCCTATCAACTCAAAAGCATGCCATACCATAAGCATCAGATTTTAACCCATTTCAGTCATAGACATGTTAAATTGAGAGGAAAAATAATGCCCTGTTGGATACAAGAGACAATTTCCAAAACTTACCCGACCAAGCCCATAAACTCCTTCAGAGTAATCACCACCAAGAATAACAGCCAGCGTTATCTGGAAAAAGTAATTTCACAAAAGCAAGCCCCAACAAATACATCAGAAATTCAGACAATGAGTTGCAATTGTTGATCTGTTCCACAGACAAGCAAGGTCAACAAAATTCTGACGCCATCAGACTTACGTGGAATCAGAAAAATTCACAGTTTCTCCATTCACATCATTTATCAGGACATAATTCTGGAAGTTGCAACAAATCTCCTAACAGGTGATCATATCGTTGTATTCTGAAGTCTAGAATAAAACTAAGGGAATGAAGTAAGTTTTCTTTCCCCACAAGATTCATTGGAAGTGTTTTCCCTTAGACTGATATGGTTTACACTATATTCCATTTGGATGCCAATTATCATGACTGAGAACAATATTCTTTCCATTGTAATCAATAGTGCTGGAAGAAAAGAGAAAAAGAATTACCAAGGAGTTCCTTCCAAGTCCAAGCTTTCTTTCAATATCATCCATTTCATAGCAAACAAGATACCCACCTTCCCCTGAATCTCGCAAACTAGAAGTATGAGTACATCAACATACTTAAAAGACACTACTGAGAGTCAAAAGAAAAGAACAAACAGATAATATCTCAATTCTCACCAAGGGAAATATCTCTATACACTGTCCTTGCCCCAAATAGGAAGGCATCAGAATCTGATGTGAAACATCCATCCTGATAATTACAATCAGTACTGTGTGATACAAAATGAGGTTGCTCCAGCGAAAACACACAATAATTGTTATGGTAATAATTTTCTAAAAGAACAGAGTTTTAGAACCAAAATTGTATCAGGAAAAACTAGCTTAGTTCTCTGAATGAAGCAATACTAGCATAATGGATCGATGACCTCCACTTACACAGAACGATTCATAGTTTAATAGTGCGCATTGAGCTTCAGCCTCCTCAATCCTGAATTTTTTTGCAGATTCCATCAGTCTATAGTTGCAAAGAGTTATTTTCTAACTCCAACAGTTATAAGCTTCATATCACAGAACTCATTAAAGCACTGTCAATTCACAAGTCAAGGCACTGTTAACACATGGAATGACCTGGTTTCTGAAAACGTGTATTTTTTCAAGTATAGATACCCGGAGCAAGTTAAGATGTAAAACTAACGTCTGATCATATCCCATAGAACCGGAGGTGAAAGACAATCGTCTCAAATACAAGAATTTTTGCTTTCTGACATATCAATGGCATGAGAAAAACAAATGCACAAGTAAAGAGTTACCCATCTAAGCACGGAATTCCAAGTGCATTTCCAAGAACTTTGGCCTCCTTTATCATGCGTGAAAATTCAGATCCTGCGTTTCTTCGTATTGATGACGGTTTAATCGCCTCATCTTGAGTGAGCTACATTATATAAAGCTAGAGTATAATGAGCAAAGTAAAATAGAATGTAGGTACACAAACATTTAAAGGAGGAGTGTCGGCAAAAGCAGATAAGCGAAAGCAGATAATTAAGCAGTCCTACCACATTTCCAGGATTTAGTCGCCTTCTATAAGTAGATGATTTGATAGCAGGAATGGCTCCATCTGGAAAAGGAAAAAAGTGCCATTGAGATGTGTATCATGTATTAAGTACTCTCAATCCCTATACTCCAGCACCCAATATGCACATTCCAACACATACAACCAACACCAACTGCGCCCCAGTCCCAACCAAGTTGGGGTCAGCTAAAACATTACAACACCATAAACATGCTTAGTTTTCAAGCCTTTTTCAGAGACAGTAAAGACTCAAATTTCTTTGGCGGACTATGTTTGGTACAAAGGATAATATTTTCCAGAAAATGTTCTAATTTATCCATGTTTGGTTGGCCAAAATGTTTTGAAAAATATTTTCTCTAGGAAAACAAGCTCCTCAAAAGTACGAAAAATGACTACCCTGGTAGGAGTAGGGAAAACAAGTTCCACAAGTGGCATTCCAGCTCACCACACCCCTAACCCCCCACTCCCATTCCAACTCCCACCCCCACCCCATAGTCTCCTCTCCAACATACCTCGCCTTGACCACAGAACCCCAGACCCCATAGTGATTGCCTAGATTATATATAAATGCTCTAGAGACAATATTTTCTGCTTACTTACCAAACACCAGAAAATAAGTAAAAACCCCTTATTTTCAGGAAAAAGATTTTCTTTCATACCAAACACACCCTAAATAGACGTTTCTGGCAAATGCTTGACTGTGTGAAGCAACAATGCTTTATTGGGTGGTGAGCCGCAACTTGATAGTAGCAGGGCAGCATCTATGTGGAACCAAACCCAAATCTCAATATTGTCTTGAGTACTACAATTAAGAATCTTCACCATCTTACACGGTAAACTAATTATGAATACCACAATAGCAAGTAAAGTACTTCTTAATTGAGTAGAAGTGAAGTATAGATTTGCACAAAGAAAGAAAAAAAATTACCGGTGACAAAGATGAGGCTACAATTCAAAGCAATGAGAGCTCTAAGGCGGTGGAAGAGACCCCTGAGATAAAGCTTGTCTTTGATGGCACAGTGGGATTTGTTGACATTTTGAAGTTGAACTATCCAGCAAGAAAGATCTATACATACCCTCTTGTTCCTTTTACACGCACCAAATCACGAATTAAGTAGAAGAACCACAACAAGTAAAAGATTGTGGTGTTTTGGAAAATTAAAAAATGTAGGGGTGAAGTTGGAACAGAAGACTTACTGGAGATGATGAAGAGGAAGAGTTTTCTTGCAAGATTCTAAGATGTCCCAAAGGTTCTTTACGCCCATCCTTCTGTTCCCGTCCTATACAGTTCTTTGGTATCTGGGGTTTATAATAACCGTTGTTTTTGAATTTTGATTTGTATTTGTATTATTATTTCGACTGCTTCCACAATTTATAGGGGCTGTTTTAACTTTTAACAGCTGTGTAAGTAGGAAATGAGATTAATTATAGTTCTAGTCCCGCAACTGTATGTTTTCTCTCTTGCTACCCCCAGCTCTTTTTTTTTACCACAAACTAGTCCTCACATTAAATGTCGACAATGCCCCTTTTTATGATTTTTAAGGATTTCATTCAGCTAAGCTTGCTTTCATATTTTCTTTCAAGTAGTAGACTTCCAAAAAATCGTACATTCATTGATTCACTTGAAGATGAGTTGTTTTGCTAGATAACATCACATTGCGGATGACAAAGTTGAGCTTAAGTGCATCAGCAAGCCCTCTATAGTCGTCTTACTTCAATCTTTTTGCATTTTCTTTCTAAGAGAACCCAGTTCCTGGGGCACTCACATTTGATTCACGTTTAAATTTCACGGTATAGCCAGTTTTCGGACTGGTCCATCAAAAATAGCCAGCGTTTACCAAGTCAATCAAATATAGCCACTATTTTGCTGTAATAGAGACTGGTCCAGCATAATATACTGGAGTTCGGTGCACTTGTGTATGAACTCCAGCATATTATGCTGGACCGGTATACTTTGCTGGCTCCAGTATAATATACTGGAGACTGGAGCACCGGTGCTCCAAACTCCAGTATATTATACTGAATCAATATACTTGCTGGAACTCCAGTATATTATGCTGGCGTTCTAGTGTACTTATGCTGGAACTCCACTGGAGTATTTTTCGGGTTTTGAATAGTGTTTACGCTCAGATTTATCTTTATATAAAAAGTGGCTAAATTTCGATTACTTTTGAAAGTGGGCTATTTTTGAACGACCAGTTATAAATCTGGCTATTTTTAAAATTTACCCTTGATTCACTGCCTTCGAATTTATGGCTTAGCCCGTAACCATTGAACTAAATAGGTTGGTGGGGGATTTGCATCTATACCCGCTTTTTGTGTCACATTTTAACTTGTGCCCGCTTTGCAAAAAAATTTGCAAGCGTACCCGCTTTTTCGCATAACTTCAGCACACGGGGCTGAAGTAGCAAAGGCAATCACGCAAAACTTCAGCATTCTAGTAGCCTGGCCTGAAGCTCAGCTCTAGAGCTGAAGTTTTTGTTTTGTAACTGGCGAAGTTTTTGTGTTGTAACTGGTTTTTGTATTGTAACTGGGAAACTTCAGCTTTACAGCTGAAGTTTTTGTGTTGTAACTGGAAAACTTCAGCTCTAGAGCTGAAGATTTTGTGTTGTTGTAATTTTTGTGTTACTTCAGCTCTAGAACTAAAGTTTTGGAAACTCAATTCCATCTTGTTTGTTACTATGAAGCTAACAATTCCGATAAGAACATGCCATTAATTGTGCAACCCATGCTATAATATAATATCTCTCATTTGCACTAGAACTGCGAGCTTCCTTAGGAACAGTGGAGTAATTATTTTTCATGAGGTGGTGAATAATCCTGGGAATAGTATGTAAATGTACAGTCAAAACATATGTTCCCTTTGTTTCATCGTGTATTAACAATTGAACAAATCGTGTGAGACAGACTGTGAAAACTGTGAAAACTTTTGACAGCCTATCGCGGCTGTTTCTTTCTTCAAGAGGCAACGGGATGGTCGTCACTCAGTCAATTGCTTGTTTGCATATTTCAGCTATTTATTTCAGAAGAAGAAGAAGGAGGAGAAAGGGGGCTGAAGTTATTTAAGAAGTGGGTATAAGTTAAAAGTTTTTAAAAAAAAATGGGTATAGGTTAAATGGGGGCGACCAAATAGGGCGCCCCGTGCAATTTTTACTAGGTTGGTTGACTCTGCATGTGTGAAACTAGGTATGGGTTTGAAGTCCACTAACGTCAGTTAAGGCAATTATTGTTTTTAGCTAACCACAATGTGACGTCCGAATCAGCTTGTGCGCGCCTCAACTAATCATTGAGTAATTGTTATCTCTCACCAGAATGTATATTGCGTATCTGTATCTTCCAAAGCTAAAACAAATTGTAAGAATTCAATTAATTCGCCTGTGTTGGGTCTGCTATGTAGAAAGCGAAGCGGCATGGGGTTGGTGCACACGAGCTGCACTTCAACCATGAGCAACGGTATGCTGGACGCATCACGCTGTAGCTATGAGCACAAGGTGGAAGCAACACACAAAGTCATCTTCAATTGATAGTTGTCAAAGTAGTCAATTAATGTGCCAATAGTTCCGCAAGACACACGGGGGGGGGGGGGGGGGGTCTACTTTATAAGACCCAGGAGTCAGGAGCAACTGCTTTAGCCTTTCTTGATATACAGAAGATAAAATTGAAAATAAATCAGCTTAGCTGGCTTTCATCATTGTAATAAAGCACGCAAGAAGTGTCATTTTTATTTTATGGAACATTGTCATTACAATGTCACACTGGTTCGAATGAAAAATAACCATGAAATGCACAATTCAGAATCCAAATACAGGAGGTGATGTGATCATCTACCGAACAGCAAACTAGTATAGTTGCTTTATCAACAAGACTAGTAGTCTTTTGTTCCAAAATTCTTGCACCAGAGCTGAGAAGGTATGGGGCGTACTGGAAGATGTGGCCTTTGCTGCAAAACAAAAAGCTTGTTATTGCATGATAATCAAATATTCCAGCGGAAAAAAAAGTTAGAGAGAGAGAGAGAGAGAGACAACGCGCGCACACACACACACAAAAGAGAGGGGGGATGGGGGGCAGATTGCCTAATCAAAATCAATTGGTGTCACAAAAACACAAACTTGCATGCTGATCTCTGAGCGAGTGGAGAGTAAGAAAATGAAAGGAAACAGGAGCAGACTGATAACAAAATAAATACAAAGGTAGACAAAAGGAAAAAGGACCACTAAACACTATTCTAGAAAATATCAATTAGTCTTTGAAATGGGAAAGGCGACCATCTACTAGATAAAAGAGACTCCATATCAGCTCTGAACTGAGGCTTCAAACTTGATAAAAAGCTTATAAAATCTTCTTTCCTCATACCAAATGTTTCAGGTAGTTCTTTTTTTTCATTGTACTCTTTCGAAATTGCTTAAAACAGATCTGTTTGAGCAATGATTATATATTCACTTTACCAAAACAAGAATACCAAATTAGAGGTCCGACCTTTTTGTCAAGGAACAAAGCCAAGATGATAGATAACATGAGAAGGAAAGGAAAAGGCAAGACAGGGAGAACAGTAAGAAAGGGGACAAAAAGTCTCATCAACAAGCTACCTCCCCTTCCTCTCTTTTTCGCCTAGAAGGATCAACAGTTCCCAGAGTTACCCGATCTGCGGGTGGGAGCTAAAAGTTCGAGAGAGACAATTTCTAAAATTTATGTGTTCAGAGCATAACTAGAGTATCCAAAAGAACTACTACAGTATTTTTTATAAGTAAAATTTTCTTTTTCAAAAGTTATATATTTATGATAGATAGCAACTTAGACATCAATAATTCTTTAAGAGTGACAGCTCATATGTAAGACAACAGAAAATAAACTGACACTTCGTAAAAAACTTTGGAAAGGAAATAAAAATTGTATGCACGGCAGAAAATTCACTAATTGTGTTTGATGTGATTCCACATCAATAGAATGGAAGCTGCACCTTCTTGTTGCCTTTATCATAGGAGACCAACTCTGAATGGGTTGGCTTTTCTCTGAAACTTAACTCTTTGTCACACCAAAAGTTAGAGAATGTGAATGGCTTAGCCAGGATTGACACACTTGTACTATTGAGTTCACAAACTATATGTGTATTCAGCTTGAATTCTACCTATTTTCTAAATGTTCGAAGATCCAAGACCTAAGTAGACGAATCAGGTATCATATGGAAGGAGCAAAAAAATGGGAACACTGATTAAAAATGTTTCACCATGACCATGTCAACTCTGCTTAATTTGACTTTCTTGCTAGACTTTTTCTGCTCATCTAACAGAACAAAATTACTGAGCGTTTCCGATATCCAAGCAAACGCAGCCTGAGGTGAAAGATAAGTAAAGTACTTATCTTAGCCAACACTCCAGGTAAGAGAATATTGGATTAGAGCCACGGAATGTGATCCTAGCACTATCAATTTCTATTGATACCAAATTTTGTGATTTCTGCTGTTTCCTTAGAAATCATAATCAGAATGATCTAGAACCAAACTTTACTTGTTATATAAATCTTAATTACATGTAGAGTAGATCTATGAAAGTAGATATAGTCATAAACACTTCTCAGAGACTTATACAGACAATTTTTATTCCTTGGCAGATAAGACTATGGATATAGAAAAGGGGGTTTAAGAGTTGAGATAGATACCCAATTTTTGGCACTGGAGTTGCACCTAGTTTCAAAATGCTGGTATTTTTATTTTCTTTTAATAACCGTGATGTCCCTGCCAACATGCACGTACCACAACCAATTCCGCATGATATCTGCCACCTCCCCTCAACACAACATGTACCACGTAACTCTATCCGCCAACGCTTGGATAGATGGGAAGAAATCACATAGTGTTTTTTGCCTCCGCGGGATTTGAACATAAGACCTCATGGTTCTCACCTGCTTCATTGATCACTAGGCCACACCCTTAGGTGCAGTATTGTCAAAGGCGAAAAGCTCTAAAAAATGCTCTAGGTCTATTGGGGCTTATAGGACGCAATTAAAGTGTGGGCTTTAGTTAAAAAAGATACAATGAATAAAAAAAGTAAAAATATATATGCAATGCAAGAAAATAGTAACAAATTCATTCAAGGTGTGTTCCTAACGATTAATATATTCTTCACCTATTATATTTATAGTTTAGTACCGCTTGATTCAAGATAAAACTAAGGGGTAATGAGGTACACGTCTTAGTGCCTTTCCTACACTGAAAAGCACTTAAGCGAGGCGAAGCACCATCTTTGAGCTTTTCTGAGCTTTAGGGCTTAAACGCGCCTTATACGAGCCTTTGACAACACTACTTAGGTGCTAAAAGGCTGGTACTAGAATGACCTAAAAGGAAAGGTAATTCACGAGGCAGGATTATCCATAGTTTGACCAATCAATCCGAGAACCCTGTTAGTTTAACATCAAGGCTCTGAGATTGAGCATTCAACTTTTGATCGGGTTCTGACCATGCATTTGTAATTCTTGCCAGCACCAGCCAATATTGTTCCACATTTCAACATAACAAAATCATCCCACGTTTCCATATAACTAAATCATATTCCTCGTTGTGCCAAAGCACAAAATATAATACTTTCCTTCTGCCCTAGAAAGACTAAAGCTAAAACTCAAGATGAGATGCTTATCAAATTTATGAAAAGTAACACAAATCAATCTTCGCAGCAATTTCCAAACACCTATCAATACATTTCAGATTTATTGGGGTGGAGGGGGGGGGGGGGTTATAGAGTTGGCTAAACTGACCTCAAGCTCGGCGGATTTCAAAGCCACAGGAATGCAGATGAGAACGATTCCGGCAAGGGCAATAGCGGTATTGCGCTGCCAATGCTTGGGCCTACAGTAGGGCCCACCACTCATACTCCAGACCTTAGCCCTGAAGTCTCCACCATGAGAATGGTCTCCTCCGCCGGCCATTTTCCGTATACAGCTGATGAGAAGCTTTGGAGAGTGGTTGGAAGTACAGAACAGAAGATCAAGATCAATTGGCGTTGCAGGACTCGTTTCGAATAATTCGTATTATGGTATATAAGCCCTAAGGTCCGTGCTATTTGGATGCTCCGAATAAGGGTCACTCGGTGTTTTATGGACCCGACTGAAATTAGGATCGGGTTTCACATAAGACTTTGTTTGGATGGGAAAACTGAGAAGGAAGCAAAATTCAATACATGAGTAAATTAAAATCCCAGAGAAAAAAAAAGATAATTATAAATCAAAAGGGAAAATATTATAGATATATATTATATTATGGATGTTCATTTAGTACTCCGTTGTAAATAAGCTTCCTGAAGAAGCTTATCCATATGGGACTCCGCCATAAATATGTTTATCTATTTAGTACTCTATTGGAAATAAGCCTCCTAAAGAAGCTTATCATTTCGGTACTCCGTTATGGATAAATATTACCCCCGGTAGAAGATTATTTATATTTGGTACAGTAGCAGCTTACACAGCAGCTTGCAGTAGCAGATTACAAGCAGCTTACACAGCAGCTTGCAGTAGCAGCTTACACAGCAGCTTCCTTTTTTCTATAAATAGAGGAGATTTCAGTTCATTATGTACATCAGTTTGAAAGTTGAATAAAAATATCATATCTCCCTCTATACTTGTCTTTGGTTTATTTACTTTACAGTCGTTATTTTATAACACGTTATCAGCACGAGACTCTGCCATTTTGAGCTTACTTCGAATTTAATTTCTATTTTAGTGTTCATCTCCGATGTAAGGCGACGCTCTTACATCCGTGGTTAGATCTTGTTCATTCCGAACATCATAAGGCAGATTATATCCTTAAGGTGGTGAGCTTTTCTTCTTAGCGGTAGAGATGTGGATATCACTTACGTCTGGAGTGGCCAAATTTGTGTAAAGTAACTTGAGTCTTTTGCTTATATTTGGTTTAATCTCTTTATCATCGCTTGCTTGGTTATATGCTACGTATACAGTACCTATTTTGGTATTTATTTTCTTCATCCTAATTATTTTAATAAAGGATTATAAAGTTGATAACATTGTTAGATCCACTTAAACTCCAGCAGAGTTTGCAAGAAATATATAACCACCGAAAGTGGTTATGTTTCGTATATCTCATTGTTACTAAATTTTGTTAACCACCAGAAGTGATAATTTAGGCTTTCTATGGTTACAATTGAAGATAAGTTAGAGAAAATTTCTCTATATTACTTGCATGCCTCGATTTGCTCCTGAAGTAGCAATATCTTAATAGAGGTTCTAAGCCGTCACACAATTTGGTGTGATTAATGCATGTTCAAAAAATTATATTCTGTTCCCTGAAGGATGAGAACTTTTGATAAATATTAATCCATTCCAGAAGTGAATGTGACAATATTAATAAAGCTCGTAAATATGAACGCGCTTTTGATGTGAATATATTACAATTCACCTCCAGAAGAGGTAATATTATTGAGGGAATATATACTCAATAATTTCGTATTTTAAATTTGCTCCTGAAGAAGTAACACAATTGAAATTTTCTCCTGAAGCAGGAAAATATTATGAAACTGTGTCTTTCTGTGCTTAAACAAAATAATAAGCTATTCAAAGTTATTTTTGAAGCACATTTTCATTCCCTGGAGTGAATGAAGAAATACCACAACTCACCTCCTGAAGAGGTAGAATAACAAAGGATATAAATCTTATTTTTGTGGCATAAAGATCATTGTCGCACGTATCCGTTGTACGTAAAATATCTTAGAAAATTTTATTAAATATCATTCCAAGGCAAAAGTATTCTTGTAGAATGCTTTCTACTACAACCATATTACTATGTTATGGTTAGTTATCGAGTTCCCCGAAGGAAATAACAACTCATGTATCTTTCCCTGAAGGATGTGGTTACCGCTTTGATATAAAATATTCAGATGTTAATGGCGTTTCTCCCTAAAGGAGATATTTGTCACAAAGTTGGTGATAAAAATACTAAAATTCTTAATTTCTTACATTTATAAATTTAGAATTGTCTTTATATTGTTAATTTGATTATGATTTTCTCTCATGACACCAGAAGTGTCTGAGCACTATTTGGTAGTACAAAATTTATCAAAAGCTCCTGAAGAGCTAACTGTTTGTCTAGAAGACACATGATACAAGTACTGTCTGAATAATATTTGATTGTGGAAAATAAATTGAAGGCTCGCGAAGAGCTTATATGCAAATTTGTCATTCATATTATATGATTGTGGTCAAAATATATGTTGTAGTAAACTCGAAGTTTACTAATACAACTGGTTATCATATTGAGACTACAAATGATTGGAAGATTCAAAATCTTCGCGTTTCCACAATCATATGTGGTAAAATAATATGCATATGAGAAGTTACCCGCCTTATTCTTCAATTTGTACTACATCATTTATCACGATAAACCAGAAGTTTACTAATGCAAAAACAGTCACAGTAAATCAGAAGTTTTACCGAGGCAAAAGTAGCTACAATAAATCAGAAATTTGCTAATACAAAAGTAGCCACAGTAAATCAGAAGTTTACTAATGCAAAAGTTTATGTCATAGTAAACCAGAAGTTTACTAAGAGATAGCACATGCCATGATAAACTTGAAGTTTTCATTTGCCATTTTCTAAATAAACTATTTGAGAATTCAGATAAGCATATACTGAAGAACTAGAAGATTCTTCAAGAATTCTCCTGTGTTGCTTGTTCTCATAATAAATTAATTATACCAGCTAAAGTTGGGACTAAGACCCCTGATTCTGAAATATATAAAAGGTGAATATGGGTCCATTCACTTATCATGTAAACCACTTATAGATGCATATATAAGATGGTTACATGTATTGTTTATTGTCAACCTGCAGTTTGACATTTGAAATTGCTTTTCTCACTTAAGAGCATAATTTTCAGATTATGAAATCAAGACAGTTCATCTTGATAATGCTGGTGTATATACAAGCTAGTTTAGCAGTGAATACCTCCTATTAATGGCTAAACTATTATTTATGAGAACAAAACTTCATGTGTTGGTTTAAGATTTTCTAAATTGCATATAGCAGCACTTGTATGCATCAGACCAACAGTATATGATAAGTCCTCCCCTTATAATTGGTTTAGGATCAGAAATCAAATATTTTTATCTTTTGATGTGTGGTATATGATTAATTTCTCTACCACAATGCACAAAGATATGTTTTCCAAAGAAGATTGGGGATATATGTTAGTTTTTCTAACATTTGTGGGATGTAATAAACAGCTGAAAAATATGCTATATGAATCGAATTATCATATATATGATCCTCACTTAGAAGATAATTCAAGTCAAATGCCAGAAGCATTTGCTGATCCAAAATCAAATATCATATTTCAGCTGCAAATGCTCCTATTAAAATTTAAAGTCCCTGAAGGATAGAGTTTACTGTACGCATGAAGCGTGGTAGACTAATCGGTTCCAAAGGTAACAATCCTTGACAAATGATAAGGAGCTAATGATTAAAATGATCATAATGAGAAGGAAATGAGCTCTAGAAAAGCCCACAACATAACATTTCATGAAACTCCAGAAGAAGTTCAGGTACCTGAAAATAAAGAAAGTGATGAGATCTCAACAAGTTATGTCGCTTGTGAACCGATACAAAATGACTGTCGACAATATATTTGATATAATATAGTGCACAATACTGTGAAATATTATGAGGATCGGACCAGTAGTCCAGGCACCTGAAGATGTCATGCCATTAAAATGCGATTCATAACCTATATGACTTATTTGATTAAACCTCTATAAAGATACCTGAAGGATTTAAAATGCTTGAAGCATATAGTTCAAAGTCTCGAGAAATGTACTCGATCAGATTACAAAGGTCTTTGTACGGTTTAAAGGAATCTGGGCGCATGTGGTATAATTGCCTCAGTGAATATTTACTGAAAGAGGGTTACGTAAGTGATGTTATTTGTCCATGTATTTTTTTTATAATGAAAATATCATCAGAATTTGTTATACTTGCTGTTTATGTTGATGACATAAATCTTCTTGGAACTCCAGAAGAACTCCAAAAGGCAATTGAATATCTTAAGAAAGAATTTGAGATGAACGATCTTGGAAACACAAAACTTTGTTTTAGTCTGTAAATTGAACATTTAGTAGACGAGATTTTTATCCATCAATCTGCCTATACAAAAAGGGTCTTAAAATGATTTTACATGGACAAAGCACACTTATTGAGTACACCAATGATTTTTTTTGTTCTCTTAAAGTGAATAAGGATCCGTTCTTACCTCCAGAAGAGGATGATGAATCCTTGGTCCTGATATACCCAAGTCTCTGCACTGTACTCTTTTTTCCTTGCTCAGGTTTTTTCCCACTGGGTTTTTTCTGGTAAGGTTTTTAATGAGGCAACTTGCAATGTATATTATTAGTGTACTCTTTTTCCTTGACTAGGATTTTTTCCCACGGCGTTTTTCCTAGTAAGGTTTTAACGAGGCACATAATAATGAACATCCAAGGGGGAGTGTTATGAAAATATTATTGTGGATGTCCATTTATTACTCCGTTGTAGATAAATCTTCCTGAAGAATATTATCCATTTAGTACTCCATTGAAGTTTTCTACAAGCAGCTGATGCAGGCAGGTTGCAAGCAACTCAATGAAATGACTTTTAGCAGCTTCTTGGTTTGATGAGATTAATTTAAATCGATCTGAAATAGTGGTGGGTAATATTCTCTACAAATTCTTTTGAGAAGATGGTATACAAGATTGGAATGCGGAGACTCGTATATTTGAAACAAGGTTTTCATCAGGGGGAGCAAAATATGCGATGCACTCTTTTTTCCTTACTAAGGTTTTTTCCCACGGGGTTTTCCTTACAGGTTTTTTAATGAGGCACATTATCTTTTAATGAACATCCAAGGGGGAGTGTTATAAATATATATATATATTATATTATGGATGTTGATTTAGTACTCCATTGTAAATAAGCTTCCTGAAGAAGCTTATCCATATGCAACTCCGCCATAAATATGTTTATCTATTTAGTACTCTATTGGAAATAAGCCTCCTAAAGAAGCTTATCATTTCGGTACTCCGTTATGGATAAATATTACCCCCGGTAGAAGATTATTTATATCTGGTACAG